GGTATGCTCACAGCATTGTTTAATGAAGGACTTCAGAAGCAATGATACAAATGATGAAGTTTATTGATGTTGAGAAACAATACGAAAATGTAGCACTCACAGGTGTTATGAGAAATAGAGATGTAAGTCCATTGTCTGAATAAGACTGACAATAGATTTGAACCTGAGTCTGTCACAACATGGGTGAATGCTCTATCAGACTTGCAGGTAGTTTGTAATGATACAGTCATTGCAGATTTTCATAGATAGAACTTAGACACCTAATTTTGGGAAAAAGGAGGTGCCAAACTTGGACAATCAATTGAAGGAGTTCATACAAGACAAAGAATGTAGTTAAAAGAAGGAAGAAGAGGGGACAACATGAAAGAAGATAAGTAAGAAAGAAATAGACTGATATTGCTAACATTTTAAAGAGCTGAGTGAAAATGGACTTTTGGGACTAATCCAAAGTTTATTGAAGGTAATAGGATGACTCACTTGGACTTCAGTAGGTGCTGAATCAGGACTATTAGTTTATTTATTAAAATATAAGTGAACATTAATGATGATAGATTCAGAATGATGGAAGTGAAGCACTAGATCATGAAGTTATGGTCAAGTAGAGAAATTTGCTGCCACAGGATACCATTTAGTTAAACACATGAGAGAGGGTTTTCAAAGAGCTTGGTTATTTAACGGCTATTTATGATAATTGCATTTCTACTTAGATACCTAATACAGGTAATCAAATCCCCTCCAAGCTGAAAGAGGATCCATTCTGGATACCAGGAAGGAATTTTCTCCTTATATTGACCATAGTGTATAGCTGGCTGGGAGCAGTAGAGGGGCTTCTGCCCTACTCCAAAGCATCCTTTCTAGATGCCTCTCCTATTGATGCCTCTATCCATTGTCTTGAACAATGTATGTTCAAGTGTATTTCATTGTAACACAAAAATGTGCCATGTTAGCAGCATAGTTTCTATTTGTTTTACATAATTGTAATGTCCAAAAGCTAATCAGGACCTGGCCCCATTTTGTTGTATTGTGAAGGCCTTTTCTACTGAGGGCTTAATCAGTAAAAATTCAGCAGAAAAATCTTAAGGCAGATACTGCATCCATACCAGGGCTTTTGCTGGCATACCTACAAGACAAAAAACAATCCCCCCTGTAATTCATACAGCTATGTTCACAAACCCTTTAAGGACAATCCTGACTGAAGGCATCCATTCAGAGAAGGCAAAAGTCCCCTGCATCCAATAGTTTGAATAAACTCATTTAGAATAACATGTGAGAAATAGATGGAAGAAACAACAGGATGGAGAAGAAAGGGCGGATGAAGGAATCACTGGCAAACCAATTACTTTGCTGTCATTGCCATGGCAGGATAATGGCAATGCCCTCAACTTGCCTGCTTTTACCTGGATCTGTGCCATTTGTTCCTGGATTTGTGCCATGTAGCTGTGTGTGAGGGTGCAACATGGCAATTTTAGGAAATGCTTGGGTCCAGTAGATTGCTTTCGATTCTATAATCCCAGTTAGCAGGTATTGTATATTTAATTCAGGAGAGAATGGGAATAATAAAAGACTGATTTACCACTTCTTTACTCCAGGTTGCTGCAGTTTCAGTGATTTTGATCAGCTGAGGCTATGGAATTACTAGAGCAATGCTAGAGGAAGGCAATGATAAATCAGGTCTTCAGTGCCCACTTACAGGGACAAGCTGCAGCCTGTGACAGTGCTGAAATAGAAACCATAGGTAAGGCATTACCTCAGACAAGCTTTCAAGCTGCTTCCTCTGCTATATTGGGAAAATGTTGCAGAAAACAACCAGTGTGGCTGCTGTTACAGTTGTTATCTATGGCAGTTCTCAAATATTTCATTTTCTTTGCCACTCTTTGGAACGCGTGCATTGTCCTGGAAACCACCAGTAGCTGGCCTATAACATTTTCAGGTGGAAACCACTAGCTATGGACTTCAGGGCTATGCAGTATCAAAGGCATCTCAATGGATTAGTACTTGATTAGTGTCAGAGACTGGTCCTCCCCTTGACGTGGTATAACTTTGAAAGGTTTAGGGGGTATTATGGTAGTTTAACACCCCTTAACTAATGATGGCTCCTATTTTAAGTGCCTTTATGATGTTTTTAAGGCAACCTGTGCCAAAACCTCAAGGCTCTGGGAAGGGCCGTCAGTGAGATTCCTCCTCAGCACCCAGCTGCTTCCCTGTCATTTTAATTGACTATCCTTCATACACTTTCGTAGTGGACAGATAAGTCCCGCTCTGAAACCACAACTGTCCAAAAAGCTGCTAAAAGCCACTTCTGGCAGCGCTGAGGTGGATGACACATCTCCTACCTACAGCACTACACGCGGCTTGCCCCTCTCCAGCTAAATCTGGCTGCAAAGGGAAAACAAGCAAATACTTTCGGATACGTATTTCTCCGATCAGCCGCCAGAGGATCTCGCAGCCAAGGAAGAGCCGTGCAAGTAGCAGCTCTTCCTTCCTTGCCAGGAGAAGAAAGCGACACAGCGGGACCTCACCTCCCTGCCAGCGAGTAGGACAGCCATTCAGGAAGGCGTCGCGCAAATGGAACAGGGTGAAATCCGTCTGCATCTCAACCCTGCTCCAAAGCGAGGGGGGCACTGAAGCTCTGTATTATTCTTTTGCAAGGATTGGTTTTCTCCGAGGGTTTTTTTTTTTTTCCGCGCAGGGTGTATTTAGTGCCTGTACCACGGAGCCATCTGTCCTGCCTGCCTGTGCTCAGGGGGTGGGGCAGTGCCAGGGCGGGCGTCGCTCTCCTGGGCGCTCCGGGAGCTGTCCACATCCCGGGTGCTGAAACGGGGAGCGCCGAGCTGAAAGCGCGCATGCGCACACAGGAGGGACAACGGGGAACCCCTTCCACTTTCATTGTGCAGCTGGGAGAAGCAAGGTTTCATTTCCTTGTGTGTGGCGGTGATCTCATTTAGCTGGGCCAGGCCACAAAGACCTCTCACGAGCTCTTCCCGACTTCCCTGCTGTTAATTATTGCAGACAACTGTATACCAGCTCCAGTAAACGACTTGCTGTGCAGTCTGTCTGCTTTCATAGGCAACCAAGTACGGTCTTGCTAGAGCACTGTTTTTTCGCTTTGTTTCTCCTCTTGACTGAGCTGGAAAAACTGTTGCTGGACATTGTAAAAGCTTGCTTGCTACTCTTTCAAAATCGTCGGTGACTTTATGCTGGACTTTGCTAAAGTGAACTTTAACCGTATCGTTTTATTTCAACAGGAAAGACAAATCAGAGAGCCTGAATACTTGTATAAAACCTGCTACATGATCTCATGGTGAAGGAAAACCCATATTCCCCTTGCTCCCAAGAGAACAATTGTTTCCTTTAGTGAGTTTACGCGATGCTGTTAAATACTTTCCCGCCATAACGTGCACTTACACCCTCTGTCTTAATTGGCTTCATACACCTGGAAGACGGTTACTGATCTGGAGAGAAAAAAAGATGCCTAAAATTCATGAAACCTTGCAAACGAAGCATGTCAAGCCATTACAAAAGTAGGCTTTTCATTTGAATAAACATTTCAAAGGAAAACCTCAACATAGGTATTATGAATTGTAAGGGCCCGGCAATAAAAAAGAGCCTACATTTGAACTTCTGATCTCCCTCCTCCCCGCATTATACATACATACACATATTTATCTATATATAAAACCAGGGCAGTCTACAGTTGCACTTGGTTCCCCTACTGGCGACATAAGAGCTATGCACGTTTTATATAACAGGCGATTTGTATTAATTTACATTAATTGCAGTTAAGTAAAGTCAACAAAAAAGAGAAAACTACTAAATAATCTGTTAACTGGAAGTGTCGTTTCCAAAAAATGTTCATCACTGGAATTAACTGCCTAGATCATGTCGGATTTCCTGTAATCTGTAGCATTCAAGCAATAAATAATTTAGGGCACAGAAATCCTTCTATCTCTGTAAATAACTACTTTTAGACTTCACATATAGGCTATTCTAATCGCAAGATTACAATTTTATGCATAACCCCGTTTTGCACTTAATGGACATTTTGAAAGCCCTTTAAGAGGGAAAGGAAAGGATCAGGCTTTAAAATTTGACTCTCTCACCCGAACAAACTTGTATGGGACTTTTTTTTTATCTACGTGTTTGCGTAAATGACAGCGCTGTCTTGGTTTGCACTCTGAAGTAGTGAGGGAGATGGCTGTTACTTGGATACGGGTAGTAAAAAGCTAGGGAAGTCAATAAAAGCACTTTAAAGGCAGTATAATAATAGAGGGTGTTCAGATTATTACTTGGCTTGAATACATTTTGGGTCAATCTTACTTCCCAACTCTCATTTCCTACCAGCAGAAAATAAATAGTTTAGAAGTACCCATTGGAAAAGTCGTTCTTTTTTAAAGCTGGGCTGTCTGCTGTGTTATCCGCTCCAACATCTAAACCACCTCTAATCACCTTCGATAATCCTGAATGGGCAATCAGCCGGCCCATTTGGGACCACAGCTGTCAAGCAGGCACGCTGAATGCCCGCTTGGGCTAATTACCCTGGAATTCCCTCCCAGCAGGACTGCATTATCGGGCTCCCCTCCCCCGGGCGCCTGGGGACCCGGAGGTGGCAGCCTCGGGATCGGTGCCACCCTTCTCCTGATTGCAATGGGGAGAGACCTCCCCGCGAGTGCCAGGCAATGCACAGCGATGAAGCGCCGGGCTAGCTCTTCTACCGCCCCTCAGCAGTTATCAAGGCGCTTTTCCTCGTGAGGAGCAAACCAGAGGGGATGGGTCCTTGCTAGTGGGGATGGATCGAGCCCTGGCAGAGCAGCTCCCTAGGAGAAATTACCCCTGACACCTGGCCGCTAACTGCACCGGGGATTCTCCTCCTCCCCCACTTCTCCTGGTGTGCATTGTTACGGAAGGGGGTGGGGGAAGGCTGCTCGGACACCTGCTCCTGTCGGACCACCCGGGTACCTGTTGGTCAGTGCTAGGAGGCAGGGTGCTGCTCCACGTCCATCGCTCCTCTCCGCTCGGGCTCCCGCGCCGTGCTGCAGTGCCGGGTCCGGGGTAGGTGATCCGCTGGGGGGATTGGTGCTCTACTTTTTCCGCCTGTTGTTCTGGCGGGGTCTGGTCGTACGCAACCTAAGGTGCCTGGCTAATGCCATTCTGGGAAGCAGGAGGGGCCGCGTCCTTCCTCCAGACAATTGATTGTCGGGGAGGGAAGAAGGCTGGAGCGCCGGAGCTGCTGCACACCTGTCACACCGTGGAGCCTGATTTATACCTGGAGCTGGACGAACCTCCTCGGGGCTTTTCTGGAGCACTTTAAAGGGGGATATCCTCTTCGAGAACCCAGGAGAAGAGGACAAGAGCTTCATGCAATTCCCTTCCTCTCCCCCATGTGAATATTCCTGCAACATATATATCGTGCTTATCCTTCTCCATTCAACTGCACCTTTTACCTGGCCGGAGCGGCTCAGATCATGTCAGCTAAGCTTCTAGTGGCTTTCTTCCTCCTCTCTGTATTCCAAGCCTGGTAAGTCTGCCCTGTGCGCTGCTTCTAGTTTGGGGATGATGAAGCGGGGAGGGGGGTGTTTTCTTTTCCCCACCAGTGTGATGTGTGTGTGTGTGTCTCATGCTGGAATGTCACCCCCAGAGAGTTTGCAAGGTACTTAGTCCGGGAAGCACATCAGGATGCGCTCTCCTTTCATTTTTACCCCCATGATGCTCTGCAATAGCATTAGCCAGGTCTACACCAGGCAGAGGGTATCCAACTCCTCCACAGAGAGGGAATTACCCTCCAAGCCGGGTCTTACATTCTTATTGCTAAGCTCAGGGTTGTCACTTAAAGTCTGAAGCTCGTTAGGCTTTGAGCTTGGATAATGCCTTTCCACCTTACCTGGCTTTGCAGAAAAGTTTTTTCCTTACTTCTCATGTTAGGGAATTAACCCAGTCTTGCCAACGCTTACTGACACGGTACTAAAGCAGGTATGGGATGCCAGGGCTTGCTAACCAGATTGTGTGTGCAGCTGTTCCCACTTAATAGACATGTTGCAGTTCCTTTCATGTACCAGGCATTGTCCGACTAGGTCAGGGATGTCACTGAACCAAGGAGGTTGGGGTTTTTTTGTTTTTCCCTTCCTTCAGTTTAGCCTTCAAAATCCTCGGCTCCAGGATTTGAGAAGGCAGAAAGCTTGGGAGGGCAAAGGCAGGATGCTCTGCCTGCAGGCAAGTGAGGTCAGTCTAGGAGAGCAGGCAAGCCCAAGCCCTGAGTCACCAAAGGGGCACTGCAAAAAGTCCTTTGAATCTCCTGTGATGTTGATTTCTCAGAAGGATCACAGCAATCCTTTGGTGCTTGGATCAAAACAGCAAGCAAGGTGCTTTCCTCTGGGGGTGTTTATCTAAAACATGGAAATATCCTTGCTGGAAATCTCACTATGGAAATGCCACCCTGGGAAATCCTCTGAGATTACCTCTGTGGGTCCCCAGGAACCTCTCCCCTCCCTGACCCCTCCCCCCCACTCCTCTTTTTACTTCCTAGGGATAATGCCTACCTAACCCGAGTTGCATTCAAGTGGGCTGCAGCACTGAAGGAGTAAGTTACTCAGGACTGGGCCTTCCAGCAGCTCCAAGGACCAAATCCTTAAGTGAGGGAAGCTACCTTGTTACTGAGTTTTAGAATAAAATGAATGAAGATATGTCAAAAATGTAAATGATTTCCCACTTCTTACACCATACACCAATTACTAGGACCTACTGAAGGATTGGGGGGTGCCGAGGAAGGAAAGGTGAAAGAAAAGCAACCCCCTCCCCCCCCCCCCCAAAAAAAAAACAAAAAAACCCAAACCAAAACAAAAACAACCCAGACATCAAGAACTCCTCCTCCAGCTCCTGTAAGGAGATGCCCCAGCATTTACACCTATCTGGATACCAAATACTGTAAACTCAAGCCAAACCCAGCATTTCTCATTGGATACCATTATTGAAGACCATTAAGTCTCCTACATAATAACTGCAGGGAGCCCAGCCAGAGGAATCCCTCCCTAACAGAGCAGCTGCAGTGAAGTGAAAAAGATAGACAAGTTTGGAGTTAATTTGCTTCCTCTCTCCCCCACCCCACAAGCAAACCATCTCTTTCTTAATCATTTTCAAGCACCGAGATGCTAATTCCTGGTTACGTGGACAATTAGATTTTTTTTCCCAGACTGTGTGTGCCAGTGCTTCCCTCTTAGTTCCCCTTATGCTGTAGTAGTACTGCTTCACTGGATGTTCAATTTTTCCTCCATCCCACAAAATTCCAGATCTGCCCCTTTGATTATGACTGACAAGTATTAAGGTCTGAAATGCAAGATCTCAGAACTGAGGCTAGAGAAAACTGTACCTCTTGTCAAAAGATCACTTGCACACACTGGTTTCAAGCTTCCTTCTTTGTTGTGTTCCTTGTGTACCTCACTTTTGTCTTTTCATAATAAAGCCTGGGTTACCTAATGAGGATTTGGAGGGCTGACAGGTCTGCTGCCTATTTCCTAAATGCCAAGGATTGAATCCTAATTTTCCTGTAAATGTCGAAAAGGCTCAAGGTCTGGGAATATGGCTGTCACTCCTGGAAGTGAGAACTAAGCAATGAAACTGCAGCCTTAAAGCTTAGTAAGACCTTAATTGTTCAGAGGCAAACAAGGGAGGTAATAAATTGCTTGCAAAAAATTTACATAATATACATCACTGTAGTTAGCATAGATTACTTTGAATAATTTTAGCCACCTCTCTCCACCCCCAGTTGCAATCAAGCACCTAGTTAGGCACACAAAACCTCCAGGGTGAAGCTCTGTGGGAAGCAATTCACTGAAGGGAGAAGATTTAAAAGACTTGGCAATTATCAGATTTTTGTTGATTATTGGTTTTAAGGAAGCTGCAAACTAATGTGTAAACCATTTTATAACACTGAGAGGATTAAATTAATTCAGTCCTCATTGAAACCTGCAGCTTGCATGGTAGTTCCATAGGTGCAGCTCAGGCCAGAATTTAGCTGGTCCTTGGTTCACATTCACCCAACCATGCAGGTTGTTAGTTGTGGGACACAAGCCATGTGAATCTAAATGATACATTGTTTGCACGCAGTTCAATGAATCTAGCATTGTAAATATGTGACTTATCACGAGACTCAAAAGAAAAGAAAACATCTTAGATTGAGTGACACACATGGGCAAGATGATCTGAAAATTGCAGCTTATGCACCACAAAACTTTCATCATTTCAAACACACTCCCATTCAGTTCTTAACTATTCACATGTGATCCTGCAAGCTTTCCACACAAAGGACTCTCAGTGCCTCCATTTAGAGATGTTTTTATATAGATTCCATAATCAAGAAAAAAGTCCTTTACATTTGGCTTATTCTTTGCAACAGCCTCGAAAAGGATTCTAAAAGGCCATCTTAATTTCTTATGTGTATTTTTCCCCCATTTATATGGCATGCCTGCAGTGGTATATTGATGGGGAGGGATGGGGGGCCATGCCCTGGGGCGCTGGCCAGGGAGGGGGGCAGAGGCTGTGTCCTCTAGAGGTACTCGGTCCCCTGGCAGCACTTCTGGATTCATTCCTGGGGTTTCCAGGCTTGGTGATTGGATGCCGGGGAATCCCCCTCCTCCCCACCCCGCTTGGCAGCAGATGGGGAGGACGCATATGGAAGCATTAGCTCCCCGGTGCCAGAGACCCATGGTGCGCCACTGCATCCCTATAACAAGCAATCCAGGCATATTTAAAAGCACATACAAAATGCATATACAATTTAGGCACATTTAAAAGCATATACTTTATTCTTATTTTGTATCATTGTTGGTGGGTGAACGTACATGAGAGAGACGGAAGGGGAGAGGGAATGCAAAGTACTGTAACACCTACCAAAGGAGAAACAAACTCCAAAATTAACTCAGTGAAAACCCTGAGTTAATGCATAAAAGTAGCAAGGTGCCTAGAAAATAAACAAATTGGCACTGGGAGAAGGGGAAGAGCAAAGTCAAGGGTCTAAGTCCTGGTCAATGCTTGCAGTGAAAACTGAACTTTGACTTGAGCAGATCCTTGGTGTGGACAAGACCCATGAATTTTATAGTCAAGGCACAAAGCCATAGAGAATAAGTGGTCAGTTTTTAGGCTGGAAAGTAGTAAACACTGGGGTCCCCCAGGGATCTGTGTTGGGACCAGTGCTGTTTAACATATTCATAAATGGTCTGGAAAAGGGGGTGAGTAGTAAGGAGGCCAAACTTGTGGATGACATAGAATTATTCAAAGTGGTAAAGACCAAGGCAGACTGAGGGACTACAAAAGGATATGGCACATTTGAGCAAATGGGCAACTAAATGGCAGGTGTAATGCAATGTAGATAAGTGTAAAGTGATGCACCTTGGCAAAAATAACCCAAACTATACCTACAGTATGGTGGGCTCTTCATTAACTGTTACCACACAGGAAAGAGGTCTGGGAATTGTTGTGGACAGGTTGCTAAAAACAGCAGCTCAGTGCTCAGCAGCCATCAAAAAGGCAAATAAATAACATAAAATGAAATAAAATAAAAATGTAGGAATTATTAAGAAGAGAACTGTAAATTAAACTGAAAGTCTCATCATGCCTCTTCATAAATCTATACCTTGAATACTGTGTCCAGTTCTGGTCCCTACATCTCAAGGATATAAGATCTAGAGAAAGTCCAGAGAAGGGCAACAAGGATGACTGGTGGTATGCAGGGCTCCCCTATGAGGAGAGAGACTAAAGAGGCTAGACTTATAAAGTTTAGAAGAGAGACACTTGAGGGGGACATGATAAATGTTTACAAGATATTAAACAGTGAAGAGAAAGTACAATGGGATTTATTATTTACTCTTTCTCAACACAAGAACTAGGGGGTCACAAAATTAAACTAGCAGATAGTAAGCTTAAAACTAACAAAAGGAAGTTATTATGTGTTGTGTGAAAAATTACAGTATAGATCTCATTGCAACCAGATATTGTGGAAGCTGACAATTTAGCCAGATTCAAAAAAGGGACTGAACACATTATTGGAGGAAAGGGATATCAGTAGCTATTGAGCATGGCAGTTAGAGATACAGCCTCTGGATCAGAACTTCTTTGACCTTAAATGCGGCAGACTGCAAGTGACAGGAACAGTAAAAACAAAACAACCCTGGTCATACCCAGTTCTATTTCCCTTTCAGCATCTACTCTCCATCATTGGGTGATGTGGCATACTGGGCAAGATAGAGCTATTCTTACGTATATTCTTGTTCTTGTGCAGTCGTTTTCATCTGTGCAAAATAACATCAGATCAGAAAGGCAACTTGTAAGGTAGAAGGCACAGATATTACCCTCCCTCTATCCTCCATGTACGTTTCTTGTCAGTTTGAGCTTCCCAAATGTTCTTGAGGGATCAGGTAGAAGTAGACACCAAGATACTAAGAACCCAAACTGTTAAAAGCTTCATAAATTAAGTTCAACCCTTTACCTTGCACTTGGGAAGGAGCTACACTGGCAAAAACAGTTTCCTACATGTGAAAGCCACACTAACCGGGCAGTTGCATCCTGCACTAGCTGAAAATCTAGTTGTTATTTCATTTTATTACTATAGTCATAAAATATGGATAATCCAGCTCTTAAAGAAAGAAGAATTTTAGCTTTCAAAATCCCCCTGGTATGGAACTGTAGAAATAGTATCATTAAAAGTGTAAGGCTTTGATTCTGAGATTCAGACTGACTTACGCAATGTATTTATGTGCTTGTGGTAATCCATATTACATTCAAGAAGCAAGTTCTTAATTCTAAGCCCTGTATGACAGTAGGTTCTGAATTTTAAAAGCACTGAGAATATAATAATTTATTAATAGGATGAAATGACCAGTAAGTATTAAAAGATCTGAATTTTTAATATTCTTATTAGCCTGCTGTGCAGGAGATGAATCAGTTGTGTTGAAAAAGTCATATTATAATACTGCAGGGTATTCACTCACCATGGGAATCTGACAAGTTAACAACTATAGGTAGGTTGAATGTATGTATGAGTATGTGCATGTGCATGCTGGGGAGAAAGAAGAGGGGATAGACCTAGTTTGATACCTGCATTAATTCACATCTTAAAGTTCCACTTGGACATAATGGTAGAAGATGACTTACACATTTAGTATCCCATATATTTTTATCACTAACAGCATATCCTTTAACAAAATGCAAAAAAATTGGTAGCTGTTCTGCAACAAGGAACTCCAAAACTTTTTCAAGTGTCTGAGGCAATTTTGTGACAATATAAATTCAGATTGAATTCTTAAAAGATAACATCTAATTTTTTTTAACGCAGTTCTAGGAAGGTTGAAGAAGATGAATATGAAGATGTAACAGCTAACCAAAAATGGGTATTAGCTCCAAAAGCACAAGACACAGATGTGACTCTCATACTAAACAAGTTGCTGAGAGAATATGACAAAAAACTACGGCCAGATATTGGAAGTAAGTGCTCTCTCTTTTTTTTCTTTATAGGAGAGAAAAGATATAAGAGTAAACAGATGGTATTATTTTGTGTTTCTATGACTCTGGGTTGTGTGCACAACACTAAGATTGGGAATGAAATTTTTTCAGTTTGGGAAGGTTCAACCCTAGAATTCTAATGCAGATGTTTAATGGCAGCATCTCGTGGCAATTTTTAAATGCTGTTTCTCATTGGACCATTGAAGACATCTTAATACAGTCAGGACTATTTTAAACATGGGCAGGTTGAAGGACAAGAAGTCTACATGGCCAGCCTACCAGATCTCTTGGCAGGTCATTGGAAAAGTCAGAAATAAACTTATTTCTGAACAAGACAGCCAAACAAAGCAAAGAAAATCCCAAACAACCCATCCCCACCTGAGCCCACAGTTCTGTGCACCCCAATGAATGATAAAAATAACACGGGATGACGGGGGAACAGATAATAACTTGTTTGTCTTCAGCATCTGGCTGTCTTGGGAAAAAGATGGACTGACAAAACCTAACTAATGTTATTTATACTATAATTCAACCTTGGTGTGTCAGAATTTATGGCATAATTTTACCCCTAATTCTTTCAGAGTAATTCTCCACTGGATTGTGTGGCCAGTTTGCATAATGTGCTATTAATATATTTTTAGAGAAGTGAGGGATCATGAGCAAAACAGAACTCGGGTGACAGTACATTATTTTACTGGCTAGTGCTCCAATGAGATTTGAGGCAAGCAGGATGAGGCTGCAGACAATCCTTATTTATTTAACGGGTGCCAACCAGTTAGACCCTAGTACAATACTAGCAAATAGTACCTAATACTAATAGAACAGCTAGAAAGGAACCTTTTAATAATTTTGTTTTACTGTACTCAGGGACCATGTTTGAAATATCTGTGTTATCTTTTCCTCACACTAATTTGTCAGACTAGATTTGGATAATCTTCAATACCTGATGGGGTAAATGCTTTTCTAAATCCTAAGAGTAACATAGTTCCCAGTCAGCATTAACATCTGCAAGAAGTTAGAGGAAAGATACTTTATTTCACTCTGTATTCCATGTCCTCACATCACTAACTTGAACGAAGAGGATAAATTATGGTTATGTCCACATGGCACAAGATAATCCTCCAGAATCTTAGTACCAGTTTCCATAAGAGTAGTTGTAACACATTTTTCAAACAGTGAAAGATTATTTACTGATAAAATAATTTCGCTTTTCTCTTCTGAATTGTTCTTAAATCTTGTTTTAGTTTACCTAGTAGTTTTTTTTTACAGTTTTCACCAAAACAGTACATTAAAATGATCAATAAAATTATATATAATAAAATAACAGTATTTATACAAATTTCTATTTAAAAGAGTTAAATCACACATTGCCTCATGTATGTTACCAGAGAGAGATTCTGCAGTTCAGTGTTGCAGTTTATTTACTGTAATTTTTTATAAGGATCCCTGGCAACACTACCTTTATCTACTGTAATTTTTTACAAGGACCCCTGGCAGCACTCCCAGACATCAACAAACTTCTTCCTACAGCAGCCATGTGATATAGAGAAGTAACATTGACATTTAATAGATAAGAAATTGACTCACTTGCCCACAGTCACACAAAGAGCTTGCAGTATTGTGCTCAAGTCTTTTGAAGCCTAGTTCAGTATTATGACCACAAGCTTCAAGGTATATCAATTTATGGCTAGAGATAAATGAAGAACGCTAAACCTTCTTCCTTATCTGAGGCATGTGTAGCATGAAGGAACCAGGAAAAAGTGCATAAAAGACAAATGCACAGTTTGGAACACTAATTAAGAATAGTTTTACAGAAGTGCAGGTAATGCCACTGAGTAAACTGTTAAGGCCAAAATTAAGCTAATTGAAAACACCAAAGGTTAAATCCTGTACGGGGACACATTAACTTGCTCTTTAGGGGGTTTCTGTTAGTTCAGCATTTTCTGAAAGCAAATCTGCTACTCCACAAAGCAATGACCAAACACCATTTTATGCAACGAGCTTGGTCAGTATATTCCCAATGGGTGCTTCAAGTTAGGCTTCTACATAGATGGCCTGATTTTTCAAAAGCACTGAGCACCCAGCACCTGCTACCAGTAGAAATTTCTGTTTGCTCAGTGCATTTGGAATTTAGGTCACTTACATAGACGACTAACTACAGATTTAGGAAGCCAGCTTTAGGGTCCTCTTTTTGAAAACTTCAAGGGTTTGTGGTGTGGCAGAGCACACCTATCATACAGTGAAGCCAACCATGGCCTTTTATTCTGCCCAGGATATCTGAGTGCTCGCATACCAGACTTGAACAATTTAGTATTCCAGCATGGACACCATTTCCAGATCAGGCAGAAGGCAGGGCTGGGTGGAAGCTTAGAAACCTGGGCGGTTCAGGGCATGAGCTTTCATAGGCAACAGCATACTATCCCTTACTGAGTGACCTGCTGCCTATACATGAGCTCCGACACATTCTAGTTAGAATGCTCTAGCATTGCCACAATGTCATGTGTATTAAGTCCCCTGAATTTCAAAATGGCTGCAGGAGCACTTTAACTAAAACCCATTGAATGGGGACTTAATACACGTGACGCTGTAGTGTTTTAGTTAGAGGAGCTTTCTGGGAACTGCTCGAATTAAAATGCCCTGCCCCCTCTCACTCTTGAGCACACATACAGGCAGTTTAAAAGCACAAGAGATTCAGTGTTTGAAAGCACTGTAGAATTACTCTCTTTCCAAAGCTACCCCTTCATGGATGAAAGTGGTAGGACACCACGTTTGCAGCTATAGGGTGCTTCAAGTTTTAGATGAGCCTGAATGTACAACCTAAACGTAAGGCAAAGCTACTACAGGTACTTTGATCTAATACTTTCAAAACAGGTAAAGGAAACTGTTGGGGTTTCAAAATCAAAGCAACATCTAACTAATGATGTCCTTGTCTGGCCCTGCTGCCTAACATGTGCCATGGGTTTTTTCCTTTAAAAATATCACAGCATGTGGGGTAGGAGATTGATTTTAACTGTTGTTTTTTGGCAGTTTTCCATTATGTCATAGAGCAATAATTACTTTCTGAATTGAAAAGAAAGAAAATCTTCTTAAATTTCACAGCTTACACCACAGCTTTGGTAAAAATGACTTTTCAAGGAAAGGTTGCATCTTTCCTACTCACTTTTTGGTTATAATTGTGTGGCTAACCACACCAACTCCAACTGGCCCAGGGAACAGGAGCATCCAATCTTGCCTGCAGACCTTTTCTGCAGTGCTTCCAAAGCCAGATGCTCAAGAGCCAGATTCAAGCCTAGTGAAGTGACAGGAGCAACACATTTCCTCCAGTGGGTTTTGCATCAAGCCCTGAGTGCATACCAGACAATTCCCTCCCCATATACTCTGGATTATGATCTGACATTTAGTCAGAGAACAACTGCTATCCCTTCATATTTATTAACCTAATTGCATGAAAAATAATGGGCCCTGATTTAGGAGATTTAATATTGCCTGAGATCTAGAAAACATGACACACATCAAACCTCCATTCATTGGTCAGATTTTGCCATTTCCGTAAATTTTCCATCTGATGTTAGAACCTGGTCCAGTGTTGCATAAAAGTAGTAGATTAACAGCTATGCCAAAATACATTCCTTTCAATTTAGTTTATTTAAATGGAATTATAATGTCCACTTAACTTACGTACAGTTTAGTTTGTGAATGACCTTACAAACAAGTGAAAGCTAGTTTCACCGTGCTATCTTATTTAGATTTAATTTTTTGTGTGTGTGATAGAATTTATCTTGCACTCTCAGAGAAAATAGAGAAAATGTTATTGTTTCAAAAGTATTTTTTTTAACCTCTTATGGACAGAGCCATTGTATTCTGTAATGTAATTTTATATCTAAAATATAACGTGCTGTTCATTCTATTTTTGGTAACAGTCACCTTACCATTATGAAAGGCTTTCAATGGGAGAAACTTCACATACAAAACAGAGATTAACATGAAATAAGCACATAGAAAGCAGAACTCCTACCCCCAACCTAGACATGTGGTCAAGGAATAGTAAACTGTAACACTTATGTAACTAAGGCACTGAGTTTATGTTACCCAACAACTATAGCAGCTTTCTGGCACACTTTCAGTGCCATCCTATATCTTGGCAAAAGGATTGCCTACAGTAGGAAGGCCCATTCTTACCTCTTGTTAGCTAATGTGATAACTACCATAAGACAGTGATGCCATGGTAAAGCAGATTGTAACCGGTGCCCTTTTGGTGGCGTGCAACCAGGTGCAATGTGGGTTTTTTCGTCTTTGCCTCTGGACCTTGTTCAACAGCCAGTGCTTATCTTAATATCTATGCCTATCTGCTAGGCCTCTGTTCTCACCTGCCATGACTTTGATTTTCTTTACTTAGACTGGGAAGCTACCACAGGTTAGGAATTTCAGGCAAGACTAATGGCTGTTTCCTTGAGGCTCCTACCTCCCTTTTCACCCTGGCCATTCACCAACCAGCTGTTACATCATACATGCTCAAAGTCCTTTTAGGTCAATTCTGTGTCAATAATAATCATCTAACTTAATAAAGTCTTATTATAATTTATAAAGAAAATGGTGTTATTAAAGAACTCACAATTTGATGTTCTCTGGTCTCATATATTTATGTCTTGTTATGTGACTCCTTGGAGAACGCTACGATCTGAGTCCTGCTCCAGTGTCCCATTGTCCAGTCCCTTCTCCAAGTGACTGGTCTTGGACTGCTCGGTGTCTGGGGTAGACTGACTATGCCAAGCCAGTCCTGGTCCCTCGACCAGCTGCTTTTGTCTTCTTGGGCTTCAAGCTCATGCCAGTTTTCCCTGGCTTGCTTGCCCTGATCCCAGTCTTCCCCAGCTTGGTTCTGCTGGTGCCAGTCTTCTCTGGCATGCAGGTAAAGCTGCCTTTGCCAATCTTCTCCAGATAGCCTGTTCTACTGCTGGTCTTCACCGGTGTGCAGGCAAGGCTGC